GCACACCCCACCCTGGGGATCGAGCCCGCAACCTGGGCACGTGCCCTTGACCAGAATTGAACCCAGGACCCTTCAGTCCACAGGTTGATGCTCTATCCACTAAGCCAAACTGGCTAGGGCTACTTTATTTTTTAAAAATATATATTTTTATTGATTTCAGAGAGGAAGGAGAGGGAAAGAGAGATAGAAACATCAGTGATGAAAGAGAATCATTGATCAGCTGCCTCCTGCACGCCCCCTACTGGGTATCGAGCCCAAAACCCAGGCATGTGCCCTTGACCAGAATTGAACTCAGGACCCTTCAGTCTGCTGGCTGACACTCTATCCACTGAGCCAAACCAGCTAGGGCTACTTCCTTTTCTTTTAAAAAAAAATTTTATTGATTGATTTGAGGGAGAGAGAGAAACATTGACTTGTTGTTCCACTTATTTATGCATTCATTGGTTGTTTCTTGTATGTGTCTTGACTAGGGATTGAACCTCGGTGTATCTGAACGAAGCTCTAACTAATTGAGCTACCCCGCCAGGGCTGGTCCTTACTTTCAAAACACTGCTTTCTATTTCATCCTCTTATCTCTCACGTTACAATCTAGGAAACTATTTAAAAAGCTGGCTTCTTGTCAGTTTCACAGCCGCATCTGCTCAGAGCAGGGCCTGCACTAGTCAGTTGCCAAGATTCTGTCCTGGACTGTCTCCCCTCCCAGGCCCTAGCACCACAGTACACCAGGGAGAGACTGGGAGGTGCTGGTTGATTACAAAACCAAGACTGGGGCCGGAACCGGTTTGGCTCAGTGGATGGAGCGTCGGCCTGCAGACTGAAGGGTCCCAGGTTCAATTCCGGTCAAGGGCATGTACCTGGGTTGCGGGCACATCCCCAGTAGGAGGTGTGCAGGAGGCAGCTGATCGATGTTTCTCTCTCATCGATGTTTCTGACTCTCTGTCTCTCTCCCTTCCTCTCTGTGGAAAGTCAATAAAATATATTAAAAAAAACAAAACAAACAAACAAAAAAACCAAGACTGGGCCATTCTCCTCCCTGGTCTCCTCTTCCAGCTCTACCCTGCCCCTAGCCCTTCCAGCCGCACTGGCCAGCCTGCGCTTCCTGAGATAAAAATCTAACAAAGGTGCTTCCCTGTTCAAACTGCCGGCCCAGCCACCTTTCCCATCATTCCACCCTGACCCCACACTTTGGTTCCTTCTCTCCTGTTCCCTCTCGATCTGGGACACATCTCCTTTATAGCTATTGCTGTGTGATGCCAGAGGGGGGAGTTGCTGTCTCTTATTTCTTATCAAGTACCTACCCAGAGTAGTTGCTCTGAGTGAGGAGATATCATCACCTCTGTGGGCCTTCAAGGCTCCCACTCCCTGGGACCTGTTTCACACACATAGAGGATGCCCTGGAACAGCCCACTCCCCAGCCTCCTTCCAGCTCTGATGTCCTGTGACCCCTCTCCCTGACATCTGCCCCCTTCCTCCAGCTCGAGGCAGCCCTGGGTGAGGCCAAGAAGCAACTTCAGGATGAGATGCTGCGGCGGGTGGATGCTGAGAACAGGCTGCAGACCCTGAAGGAGGAGCTGGACTTCCAGAAGAACATCTACAGCGAGGTGGGCACTGTGCCCTCGGGCCGGGGACCGGGGCTGGGTGTGACAGACACCAGAGCTGGGGCTGGAGGATCCGCTGTGTGCGGAGCTCACCTGCCTGCCTCCCTTGCACTAGTGGGGATGGGGGGTGGGGGGGTTGGGGTGGCCATCACCCAGCTCCCAGGTTAAAGTGGGGCTGACAGTGACTCACCGGTTAGGACTGGGGAGGGAGCTTGGTCAGGGGGTGGGGGTTGGGGTGGCCATCACCCAGCTCCCAGGTTAAAGTGGGGCTGACAGTGACTCACCGGTTAGGACTGGGGAGGGAGCTTGGTCACCTGGGTCTTCGCCTCTAAGGACCTAGTTCTCATTTTGATTTCGGTGTCTAACCCTCCAGGAGCTGCGCGAGACCAAGCGCCGCCACGAGACCCGGCTGGTGGAGATCGATAACGGGAAGCAGCGGGAGTTTGAGAGCCGGCTGTCAGATGCCCTGCAGGACCTGCGGGCCCAACATGAGGAGCAGGTGGAGCAGTACAAGAAGGAGCTGGAGAAGACCTATTCTGCGAAGGTGCTGCCTCTGCCCGCAGCCCTACCCCGCCCGCCCTGGGATGTCCCACAGGGGACCGGGTGGATGGTGGGGGCGGGCTCAGGGTGCCCGGGACCTGTGGCTGCAGTCCGGGTGCCCTTCCCAGGTCCTCCCTCTGTCCCGTCCCATCGCCCTAACCCTGGTCCTCCCTTCCAGCTGGATAACGCCAGGCAGTCAGCCGAGAGGAACAGCAACCTGATGGGGGCCGCCCACGAGGAGCTGCAGCAGTCCCGCATCCGCATCGACAGCCTCTCAGCCCAGCTCAGCCAGCTGCAGAAGCAGGTGCGGCCCCTCCCCCCTTGGCCAGTAGTCTGGGCAGGACCAGGATGGAGGGTGGAAGTCCAGGGGGCTTCCTGAGGAGGGGTCGAGGTATGGGACAGAACAGGCTCCCAGGACCACAGACTGAGACGGGGCATGGGATTTGGAGTGAGATGACCTGTTCCTGGACCACCTCCTATCTCACCTGTATGACCTTCACTTCTCAGAGCCGTGGTTTCCCATTGAGAATGGGGACCGCGTGCGCGTGAGATATCACTCTGGCCGGTGCTCTCAGTGGTTAGAGCGTCAGCCCGTGCACCGTAGGGTCTCGGGTTCGATTCCTGGTAAAGGGCTCATACCTGGGTTGCAATCCCCAGCCCAGTAGGGGTGCGTGCGGGAGGCAACAAATCGATGTGTCTCTCTCACATCGATGTTTCTCTCTCTCTTCCTCTCTCTCTCTCTCTCTCTTTCTTTCTTTCTTTCTTCCTCTCTCCCTCTCTCCCCCTCCCTTCCAGTCTCTCTGAAAATCAATTGGAAAAATATCCTCAGGTGAGGATTAACAAACAAAGGCATCAGTATTACTCTAGTTGTCTGTGCCATTTGTGACAGGAAGAAATAGGTTCTACCTTGAGAATGAGGGATTTCAGTTAGATGCTGGGAAGGGCTTCCGGGGCGCCAGCCCAGGCCATGTGAGAGCCATGATAGTCTCTTACAGGAGCCTGGAGTTCCCGGGGAGTGTGGCTGGGTGTCCCCCACCCCTTACCTCTCCATCCTCGGGGTCCTTGGGAGCTCACCAGCTCCCTGCCTTTCTCACCCAGCTGGCAGCCAAGGAGGCGAAGCTGCGGGACCTGGAGGATTCACTGTCCCGGGAGCGGGACACCAGCCGCCGGCTGCTGGCCGAGAAGGAGCGCGAGATGGCAGAGATGCGGGCGAGGATGCAGCAGCAACTGGACGAGTACCAGGAGCTGCTGGACATCAAGCTGGCGCTGGACATGGAGATCCACGCCTACCGCAAGCTCCTGGAGGGCGAGGAGGAGAGGTGGGCTGGGCAGGAGTCGGGGCGGTGCTCGCAGCCACTCTGGCCTGTGACCGGCCTTGACGAGGCCCCCAACTCTGTCTCCCCCTCCCCAGGCTACGCCTGTCCCCCAGCCCCACCTCGCAGCGCAGCCGGGGCCGTGCCTCCTCTCACTCGTCCCAGACACAGGGTGGGGGCAGCATCACCAAGAAGCGCAAGCTGGAGTCGGCTGAGAGCCGCAGCAGCTTCTCGCAGCACGCTCGCACCAGCGGGCGCGTGGCCGTGGAGGAGGTGGACGAGGAAGGCAAGTTCGTGCGGCTGCGCAACAAGTCTAATGAGGTAGGCGCCCAGGCTGGGTGTGAGGGAATAGGGAAAGGTGAAGGCATGGAGGATGGAGAGAGGCAGACCCAGTGAGTGTGTGTGTATCTCCCCCAGGGTCTAGTTCTAGACCTATGAGCATCCGTCTCCGCATCTGTAAAATGGGGATGAGCAATAGTCCCTAACTCTGAGTTGTGGAGAAGGCGGCAAAGTGCCCACAGGTCGCAGCTGTTAGCCTCGAGGGGGAGGGCAGTGTGGGGAGGTGGAGGGAGAGGCCTCCACGTCAGGAGGGAGGGCCCTTGAGCGATGAAAATCCAGGGGCCTGGACGAGCATCCCCCACCTTCCTCTCCCCTGCCCGGCAGGACCAGTCCCTGGGCAACTGGCAGATCAAGCGCCAGAATGGAGATGATCCCTTGCTGACCTACCGCTTCCCACCGAAGTTCACCCTGAAGGCTGGGCAGGTGGTGACGGTGAGTGGCAGGGTGTTTGGACTCTGGGGACTGGTTGGCCTCAGGATGGGTGCGCGGGAGTGAGCGCCCTTCTCTCATCCTCCCTCCAGATCTGGGCTGCAGGAGCAGGGGCCACCCATAGCCCCCCGACCGACTTGGTGTGGAAGGCGCAGAATACCTGGGGCTGTGGGAACAGCCTGCGCACGGCACTCATCAACTCCAACGGGGAGGTGAGTGTGCCGCGGGCCGCCCTCGTCCTGTGCCAGGCTCCCCTGGTGGCCATATCCCAGGGGACTCCCCAGGGACAGTTGAGAGCCCTTTGCCAAGGAAGCCAATTCAGGGCCACTTTCTTCTATCTCTCTATCTCTATGGTGCAAGCCCCAGGCCCTAAGCTCTCCACCCAGTGGGCAAACCAAAAGATGCCCCTCCCTCAGCCTGCGTGGTGGAAGTTAGAAGGCGAGGAGGATTGTTAAAGGCAGAACCACATTCCTACCCAGGCAGTTTGACGGTGTTTCTCTGGGGTAGAAACCAGTTCCTTAGCTCCAGCCACCCCTCCACCACCCCCCCCACCCCCCGGCCCCGGGGTGTGGGGTGTGGGGTGGGGAGAGACAA